TTTTGGGCTCGGAAGCCTGTGTTTTCCAGCTCCTTTCCCCACAGGCTGATAGCATGTACAAAATGAGCAGTACTGATTTTCAAAGAATATTTCTTATTTGAAGTTACAAACGTAAGAGCTGCTTAATCTCATGGAAGGCTTTTGTGGTATTTGGGTTTGTTACTTTATATAGGTTGTGCATGTTTCCGTTTTCTATGAACAAGACTTTTAAAGGTTTTCAAAGTGCAATGACTTAAACTGTAGATTCTCCGGATAAAAAATAATACCCTAAAGTGCCAACTTTTATGGTATTTTTTCTATTCAGGAGAGTTTCATCTCATCCATTCTTCTGTCTGAGGATACAATCAGTAGTACATCTGTCAGTTTGTGTTGATGTTTGTTCTGCCTGTCCCCGAGAACCTCCAAGGATGGACACTTCATGAACTCCCTCCAAGCCTGTTCTAGTGTGTTGCTGTCTTATAATTAGAAGATGTTTCCCTGTATATAATTTAATTCTCTTTTCCTGTGTTTGATCTTCCCTGTTCTGTCCACTGTTGTTATAGAGAACACATTTACCCCCGTTAGTCACGTCCTTTTGGCTAAATTAGCATAGTTTACTCAGCCTTTCTTTGTAGTTTATGTTTTCTAGAGGTCCAATTGTAAAATTCTTGATGCTACACACTAAAAAAACCATAATAACATGGAGTGGACCAAGCAACGAATCTGTAAAACAGCAACCAAACAATGTGGACTGTGTCCAGTATTTTAGCTGAAATCCTAATATATGTTGTAGAGAAAAAAAAAAAACACCTTCACATTTTTGATAGCATGTGCTTATGCTATGTGCTGATCTAAGTCTGTTTCAGAATATATTTTTTTCCTATGGAAAATCCTTCTGTCATTTGTGAGGCGTGTTTGCACATGTCTTACCCACGCCCTCCCCAGAAAGAGCAGAACAGTCAAGGAACAAAAGCCTAAACTACATTTGAAGCCACTCTGTGCTCCAAGGTTGTGTGTGATCAAACTTCACCAGCTTTGTCCTCACTCGTCAGTTCCCTTGTGGCTTCAAAACCCTCCATTTTGTAGGCATCCCATTCCCCTTGGGGCAGTCCATTACAGGGTGACAGTCCAGCTGATGCCTGGGAAGGAGGAAGTCCTTTGTCACGTGTCCTATTGAGGACTTCGGTTTCCTGAGAATACCATCAATAAAACATAACTGAAATGAAACTTTTTACAAAAATATATTTTTATACAGTCCTAAATGGGACTGCAAAATAATAATCTCAATAATACAGATGCCAAATAGCATCGGTGCAACTTGTGGTCTTTATCTACAATTCACTTTTAAACATTAATGGATGATAAAGTGTAGTTAATTAAGACAGGGAATGTATATCTAAGTAGGATTCTTCTGTACAAGTAAGTTTACACTAATAAAAATGAAGTTGAGTCTGAATATGTATTAAAGTAATGTAATTTCCCATTGTTCACTCTTATTCTGGCATGAATGCCCTTTTTTTTTTTAACCTCAATTGCTTTCACAGCTAAACCAGGAGAAGGCTTTCTTAGGTCATGCTGAGTACTGTATTAGTATTGCTGTGAAGTTATTGTCATGTGCCTTAGGTCATTTCAGCCCCCAGGTGGTCGTTATCTTCTAATAACTTGTATCATGGTTTAATTTAAAGAGGCAAGTAGGTGGAAGGTACTTAAAACCGTTACCCTGAACATAAAAACACCTGTCTGCTCATGCAACAGCAAGCCTTATCTAGGTCACTTAGTAAAGGTGTTGGCTCAAAGAACCTTTCTGTACCTTGCAGCAGGCAGAGAGAAGGGCAAGTGGAGTGAAGGGAGAATTGTCAGTGAAGCCCCATGTCTTCATCCGTAGCTTTCTGATACTTGGTTTTTACAGCTGAGATTCTCTGTCATAGTAGTCAAGCAGACCCCTGTGTTGCTGGTTCCACTGTGCTCATAAGTATCAGTAGTGGGTATGATGTTTCAACCGTCATCTGCACTGATGGTATTCTTTTAAAACTTGTCCTTTTATCGTAAGTGCAATTACAAAAAAAGTAGTAATTTTGGAAAGTTGAAACTCCACCAGAATGTGGATGTTTCTGGTGATCTAGGGGGTCTCCCTGTTTTCCAGTATTGACTAGAAAAAGGAACAATACCCCTTTGTAAGTTTTTCATATTTATCAAAGGCAGGCAGGAATTTGGATTTGTATCCTTTGTTGTGCTTTAGGAGGCATACTCACACAAATTCTGAAATCAGTTGCTTTGCTGACCTCTTGGAACAGTGCTAAGATATGTATATGCATTAAATGCTTTTTATTTAAAAGTACGAAGTTTTCTGTTTATGGTGACTCTTAGAGGAAAATATCATTTGTCTGAGGGAAATGTTTTGAGTTTCATCAGCTTTTCATGCAATAATGTGGGTGTTCTGCTTTAAGATTTTTTTCCCACTAAGTTGATTTAGAGCTTATTTAAGTACTAGTTAAGAGGACAGCAAAGAGTTCAAGGAGTCTTTTTTTCAGAATCTTGATTATCTTGCCAGTTCTTCTGTTAACCTTACATTCCAAGTAGAATGGCTAAAATGTTTCTCTGAACTTAAATAAAAACTCAGTATTTGCAAGGAGCAGCTTGTGCACTCTCAGTTATAAATACTCTACTTTATCCTGGTCCACAAGGACAGAAACTGTCCTCTGAGATAGCAGAATCACTCCTGAATCACTGGTTATTGCTGAACAAAGAAATTCGTGTTCGTCTTTTAAGTCTGGCAAAACTAACTTCTTAAGTCTGGGAACTAACTTCTGTGCGAGATAGCATGAAGGTAGTAGTTCTAATGTTTCTTAATACTGCTGTATCTTTTTCTGTTCTAAGAACTAAATATATTTGAAATAAGCTGTGAAGTTGTAATGCCAATGCATTTTCTTTAGTAGAAATTCAATAGTTAACCTGTAAGAAGGTCTGCCAATGTGAAAATACTAGTATTGAGCTAAGAACAGAGCACTAAAAAGGTAGATGTTTAAGACCAATGTTATGAAATATTTGAATATGCAGTATCTATTAAAGCATCTAGAACAGCTCCTTGCAGATCTTGTTTTAGTGAGAAACATTTTTATTAAGTGGGTTGTTTTGCTTTATTACATGGAAGACAAAGAGCTTTTCATTGAAAGATTTTTTTGGAAATTTTTATTTTCAAATTAGAATGTGTACAGTGCTGAATTTATGATGCATTTTGTATCATTTATAAGCTTTCTTTCCAAAAATATTCAGTAGTCTGTTAGATATCTGTATCCAGTTATTACTATAGAAAAAGTATCAATTATTGCAGCCATAGAAACCTCTTTTTATTTTTCATCATTTTAAGTTTGAAAAGGTTTTATTTTTATGACAGGGTTTTTTCCTTCACCATATACCTGATAGTACTTGAATTTTCATGTTCAGTACTTTGACTTGTGACTACAGGGTTTACCTGAAAGTTAGAAAACTGTATAAAAATCAGTTTATTGCTGAGAGTATTGAGAGGGTACTGATTTGTTGTGAGCATGCTGATGTTTTGTTTAAAAATGCTCAGTTTGGGTATTACTTTAACAGTTGTAATAATTTATTGTATAAACATAACTTAATTAAGACTATTTTGCTTTTGCTTCTACAGTCCATACAGTGACACTGTTTCTTAATATCTTTGGATGTTTGGCCTGGTTTTACGTTGATGCTACGCGAGGGGTTGATTTTGGATTGAGTATTCTCTGGTTCTTGCTTTTTACTCCTTGTTCTTTTGTCTGCTGGTACAGACCACTTTATGGAGCTTTCAGGTAACAACTTCAGCTTGACTTAAGATATTTAAAAACTTGTTAAAATGCGTTAACATTTCAGAATTTGCTTGATTATCATTATGATAATTCTTCAGTGTGCCTTCATTAGAAACAAGTAGTGTGTTTGCCATTGATTCAGTTGTTGTATTTGAAACATAATGGCAATAGTTAGGTATATCATGGTATATCCTTTAAAGTATTTATAGCTTCTACCATTGACAAAATATTTGCAGGAAATACTTAACTTTGTATTGGGCTGATAGCAATTTTAAGGAAAATTCTCATTAAATCTCAGTCCCTTCACACCAAGAATTTGAGTAGGTTAATAGTTAAGAGTGTCTTAAGTTTTTGGCTTCCTGAATGGAGTTCATAAAACTCTACACTTAAAATTTTTACATCGTTAAGTGATATACAGTATCTGTAATTGAAGTAGACTGAGATTCTTAAGAATGAGTAGAGGAGGTATATAGAAATAAAACAAATATTTTTCCTAGCTTCTAGCAATCTTTGCAGACTTCACAAGTGTGAGGTGTGGTGGATTTGTGTTTAAGAATAGAATGGTTGGTTTGCATGCAAAATTGAACTTTTTTTTGTTGTTGTGAAAATCAGCATGTAAAGATTCTGAATCCTGTATTCTTACAGTATTTTGGGGGATTTTTTTTACATAGACGTGATCAGGATAGTCTCAGTTAAAATGCACTAATTCTTGTAGAGAAAGTGATGGCCAGAAGTTGCAGTTAAGCTTAACCTTTAGACTAAATGAGATGTTTCTTTTTGCTAACCAAAGAGGTATAGCTATACCCACACATCTTTGAGGAATCATACGGTTTAACTTGCATTTGCTCTCTAGTAAATCCATAGCTTTTCTTAGTGAATATTGTTTGGAAAAGGAAGTTGTTTCAGTTGCTCAGCTGAAAATGAAATAGTTATTGAACTGAACTGGTTGGATAAATAGAAATGAACAAACCCCCTTCTGCAGGAAGAGCTAATAATGGCAAAATCTGGTTCTGTGCCTGAACTAAATGATTTCCTCTTTCTTCAGAACTCTGGTAGCAAACATATCATATGATCATGAGTTTTGATAGTAGTGAGTTGAGGCCTTTGAGATTTTGCCTGTACATTTATATTAGTGGTTGTTTGGGGTGTTTTTGGTTTTGTTTTTGGTTTTGTTGTTTGGCTTTTTTTTTTTTTTTACTTTCACTCTTTGTCAAGCTGGCATTCTAGTAATTTAAACAGCAAACCTATTTTGTATATTTTGCTTTTAAGCAACAGCTGCTTCAGTATTCTGGTCTGCACTATGTTTCAGTAATTCCATGTTAGATTTTATTTCCTTTTACAAGTAAAAATATTTTCTTCCTATCCTGCCAGCACTGTGAACTTCAGTCTGAAAGTGCAGCAGAATTCTGTTCTTCATGCATTGTAGTAAAACTTCTATGTTTAGTCTAAGAAGCCCTGCTGTGTGCTGAACAGAACACTAAGGAGTAGTGTCTTGCTGCTATTGTCACCTCTGTTAGAGGTGCAGGTGGCAAAAATACAATATTAAAGAAGAAGGAGCAGCTTTTGTAAAATAAACCCTCCACAAAACCACAGAATTGGTGATAGTTCAAGTCACTGTCAATAAATGAAAGCACTTTTCCTTTAGTTAATGCAGAAAAAAATTTTAGATTGGTACTACAGTATTTACAAAAAGTCATTAATTTCCTGGCTGCTTTAATCTTTTTTCCCGCCTTTTTCAGGAGTGACAGTTCATTCAGGTTCTTTGTGTTCTTCTTTGTATATATCTGTCAGTTTGCTGTACATGTACTTCAAGCTGCAGGATTTCAAAGATGGGGAAACTGGTGAGTATTCTGTTTAACTAGGAAAAGTGGGTGAAACATATCCCAAGAGTGTGAGGTACTTCTGTTATTAGGCTGGTCAAATTTTATGCTTCAATGTAAACCACTTTGAACTATTCTTTTATACGTTACCTCCTCTATTTTGGTGGCGTGTGGAGACGTTGTTTGCTCTGTATTTAAGATAAAGACATGAGCAAAACTTAGAGAAAATGAAAATAATTCAGTAATAATATACTATTTACATATTATTTTGTATCATTAGTTATTTCTAATTATTTTAATATACTTAATATTTATTAAGGAAATTTATGGCTAAAATTTGAACAGTGAGTCAACAATGTATTTGGGTCAATATAGTGGTATATGTTTTATATTATTTGAAAGGTTATTTGTCTGAGTCAGCTCCTTATTCTGTAGTTGATTTTTTTCTTTTTGATGCTTGTAAGTATATAGGCTTTTACATGAAGCTTTTATGTATATTGTCTTTTATTTGAGTCTTCAAGGTCTAATATTGAGATTTTACAAGGAAAAGCTATTGAGAATCAGTAACCATCCTTGGGGAGAAAACCAACAAACCTGAATTAACTAAACGCATGGCTGTAGTAGCCAGCTGGTAGCACAGAGAGCTATGACTGGCAGTACTGTAGCTGGGTAATAACACTTCTCTGTATCAGTGCTTTTTGCTGCGAACCTCCAAACATACATAAGGCAGACAAAACAGCATTGCTTTAGAACTGTAGTGTAAGGAAAGATACTGTTATTATTTTTGCTCTTGAATCCGCTATTTTGCTTTTTTATAGACACATTGATTGGCATTAACAAAATAAAAAAAGTATTTTAGACAGCCACCGCTCCAAGTATGTGGGGTGTGCTTTTAATGATACTTGGGGAAGGGGTATGACAAGTAGCTAGATCATCAGAAAATGCTAATTACAGTTTGGATTTTGGAGTTTTGTGGTAGAGTCCCGTTTGACGCTCGGGATAGCAAAGCAGTTTGAAACAGGTAGGGGAAAATTTTAAGGTTGTTCGGGTTTACAGAAATTCTTTGCTTTTTTTTTCTGTGGAAGAATCTTTTCCATCTTAATGTTTTCTTTTTCTTAAGGGAACCTGCTTTTTGTGGTTTTAGGTTTGATATTGTGTATTTCTGATGGTGTTTCGATTTTGAAGAATGGGGAAATGTTTGAAGTAGATACTGATACACCAGTCTTTTCTGGTAGTTAATCTTATGCTGTCTACTTCAAAAAAACATTATATTAACCTCAATTGAGAAAGCATCACTGTGTGGATACAGTTAAATGAGTCTTCCCACAGAGAAGCTGTGTGTGTGGGGCATGTTTTTGTTCTATATTTGAAGAAGTTAGAAGCTATCTTTTTAGGGACATTTTCTCTTCCACAAAACTGTGTAGTCTTAAATCAGTCTGAAATTACAGTATGACAAAAAAAAAAAACCCAAAAAGTTGATGAGCAACTGTCTAATTTCTCCACAATTCTGCTCAAGGATAGTCACCTTTACTACAATTTTTCGTATGGTTTCAGTGTATGCGAAAAATGGACACTAAGCTCTAAAAGCTCATCATAGAACTGAAATATGCTTATGTAAAATTCCCATGACTTTTTCTTGGAGGTTATAAAGCTTCCCTTGTGGTGGATACCTGTGGTCGAATGGTTTACGTGCTGTGCTAGTAAAGCATGTCCTTTCTTTTTCCTTCAGTGGGTGGATTTCATCTCTTACTGGTCTGAATAAGAGTATTCCTGTTGGCATTATGATGATAATCATAGCTGCACTTTTCACAGCATCTGCTGTTATCTCATTAGTTATGTTTAAAAAGGTAAGTTACATATTATTCCCCTCTTCCATTTCCTATGCTCAATCTGCTTGAGAGACGTACTCTTGCACAAAGCCATGGGGATTAAATGATATTCTTAGGGGTGTGCCTTACCTATTAACAACTGTACTTTTTTGCTTATACTGTTGCGGAGTCACAAAATTCTGTTTGTACAGTGCACCTATTTTCTGCAAACTAAAATGGGGAAGGATAGCTCTGAATAAGAGAAATTGGGAAGTAAGCCTACAATGAAAGGGTAGGTGAATGCCCTGGACACTATGATTGTACCTGTAGATGCCAAGTTGTAATTTTGAAATCTGTGGTGATTCATCAGGCTGAGTGAAGTGTGATTCAAATGATTGCGAAGTTTCAGCTCTTACCAAAATCATTCCCATTAAAATAAAGAGAAAAGGGACATGCCTGGCACCTCAGAAAAGGATTTTTATTTCTCTGCTTCTGTTATTTTAATATTTTGTTGTCAATTAATGATTGTGTAGCATGAACACTCAAAGAAAGATGCTTTTTTCCCTTGGTTCCTTTTTGTGAATTTCTGTCCAGAAGACCTAAGTTTAGATACTTATGTGCTAGTAAGTTTTTGATGTTGTTTAGATAAAATGTAACTGAGAATTCTGATGATGATGTGCTGGCAGTTCTAATGATTCAACCTCAGTTACACTTAAAGATTTTCACATACCCAAACTCTTCTGGCCTGTTTACAGTAAGCTAGAAATTTTAAGTGTTGCCTGGAGATGTCCCTTCTCCATATTTGTTTTCTGCATAAATACTCAGGTACAGGAGAAGGAAACAAGGAAGAAAAAATGTATGGTGTAGCATTTTATTTTTTTATGCGCTTCCTACCATATACATCTGGATCGTTTTCAAAAACCTGCATGCTCACATGTGACCTGGTGTATCTTTATGGATGAGAAATAGTCACATTTATAACAAAGAAAAAAATTACAACATTCATTTTCCTGCTACAGTTGAGTGAAAATATCTTTGCAATATTATTTGACAGCTTCATTGTGACTTGATTGAATATGAGTCAGAAATAGCATTTTAATGTTAATACTCAGGTAATTGGAAGTTACTTAGGATTTGTTTCTTTGTTGTACTAGAGATTATATGCCATATTGTTCAGAGTGTTTGTAAATCATATTGTTTAATACCTCTGCTTATTATGCAGAGCTATCGGTCATCACACTAGTTTAGCAGATATATATCTGCATTATTAGGATATTTTATACTTTTTAATATTCAGTCATAGCTTAGCTTGTTCTTGTAGCTATATCAATGAGAGAAATGAAAATGTTTCTAAAAATTGATGTAGAAAAAAGTTCACCAAAATGTTACTGACACAGTGGATTCAAAACTACTTTTTTCATTTTGTTTCCTGCTGGTTTTTTTTCATATGCACACTTATTTTAATGAGTATGACAAGTAGTATACAAATTGAGACAGAAGACACTTTTGCAAGCTATGAGACCTGTGTTATGCTAAGGATGCAGCCTGTTTGTGTATTTAAATATCTTATTTCAGACAGTAGAATCATAGAATCATTAAGGTTGGAAAGGACCTCTGAGATCAAGTCCAGCCGTTAACCTAACTGCCAGGTCCACCTCTAAACCGTGTTCCTAAGCACCACATCCACACGTTTTTTGAATACTTCCAGGGACTGTGATTGCACCACTTCCCTGGGCAGTCTGTTCCAACG